TGTGTTGGTTGACTACAGCAAGGCTTTTGATAAAATCCCGTATGAACGGCTTCTGTTTAAGCTCCAAGGAATGGGTATTTCTGAGAACCTCCTATCTTGGATCTCCGACTTCCTAAACGACCGCGCCATGTAAGTGAAGGTGAATGACACGTATACTGCTCCTATTCTCATGATAAGTGGGGTCCCACAGGGCTCTGTCCTCGGTCCCATACTCTTCAGTATCTTCATCAATGGCTTACCGTTCACACTTCAGACGGATTGCCTAATCTACGCTGACGACCTAAAGCTATGGATGGAAGTAGCCAGCCTTGAAGACGCGGACATATTACAATCTACGCTCAACCTACTCCTTGATTAGTCGATTAAGTAGCAGTTGCTCGTAAATCGTGACAAATGCTCTGTTCTCCGTTGGCTCATCTAACCCATTTGGAACTTACCACATTGGTAGTTCCTTGCTCAGAAGCGCAACCCAAGAGAGGGAGTTTGGAGTGATAGTGTCATCAGACCTCAAATCTATTCAGGACACCCAGAAGAGGGTTGCCGCGGCCTACAGGATGTTCCATTCTATACGTAGAGGGTTCTCTCCCCTGACCCCAGGGCTTTTCCGACTCCTCTTTGGCTCGCATGTACACCCGATTCTCGAATACGGATTACCCGCTACCTACCCTCTCACCAAACCCGAACGTGATGTGTGAATGTGGGCCTAAAACAAAGACCGCATCACACTATGTCCAACAATGTAAGGCCCACGTATCCTGCCCTAGCAGTCCCTGCTTGGCCGGTTACGTGAAGTAAGCAAGAGAAAATAATAAACTCAGAAGGCAAAAAGAGGAAGTAGAAAGAGCTAAGCAAGCAGAATACCAAGATATTTGGGTCATTATAAAACTGAAAGGCGTAAGTAAGTCAGGAAAAAAGAAAGGTTTGGTGTTGCCACCCAAGAGCAACGAGCTCGCGCAAAACCCCTAACCGTAGGTTCCCTAACCACGTGATATGGAAGCGAATTCCAGCGATCTATAACTCGGCGCGACAGACGGGTATCCGTCCTAATCCTTTCAGATCGTGGTTTATGCACTTTCAGTGGGTGACCGCGGAGATTAGGTAAGGTAGCGGAATTAAATAGCCTTGACAAATCTGGGCAGAGCTTAAGCGTCAAAATGCGACAAGTGAGCAGCATGTCCCCTCTTATCCTTCGGTAGTGTAGTGAGTACATCCCCAAATTAAGGAAGCGTTTAGGATATGTCTATCCCCGTAGACCCAGCACGAACCGAGTGTCCACTCGTAACGACCGCACCAAGTCAATTTGTCTCGGATAACGCATGGTGGACAAGCCTGTTTACAATATTCCAGATAAGGTCGGACGAATGCCGAGACTAACTTCACAAACAAACTGGCCGTTAGCATTCCAAAAGAGCTGCGGATAAACCAAATCATACGAAACCGATGACAAGCAGCCTTCTTCCAATTGTCGCCAGAATGAAAAGTTGATGAGTGTATGACCCCTAAATCAACCTGTTGAGTGACAACAGGGAGTTTATCACCACCGACAACATACCGGGTGGGAGGATTAGCAGCTCCGATTCGTAGAACAGAGTACTTGGCCTTATTTATGGCATCCAGCATAAGGTAGACCATTCCCAGAGTCTATCCAAGACACGCTGAATTGCATCAGGACCCCCCGGGGTATCCAGAATATTTCAGAGCTTAAGGTCGTCAGCAAACATTAGTGATGACACTCCTAGCTCTCCCGCCCAGTCATTTACACTGATCGCGAACAACAATGGCCCCAATACCGAGCCCTGCGGGACGCCACTAAGGACAGCTTGCTTGAGCGAAAGGCTACGCGTCACCCGTATGCACTGTTTCCTCCCCTCAATGAAAGCAGACACCCATTGAAGGGCGCGACCAGATATACCGTAAGATCTCAACTTTAATGAGTCGAAAATGAGGAGCAGTGTCAAAAGTTTTCGAAAAGTCTACGAACAGCATGTCTACAGCACTGTCACTGTCTATCGCTTCGGCCCAGCTTCCACGAGAGCGTCGGATTAATCGAAAACAGTTGATGGTAATTTGGGGGCGGTACTGTTCAGTTCAGTTCAGTTCAGATGGGACTGGAACGATAGGGGAATCCCATGAGTGTTTCATCTTGAGTGGATCGTTGAGCCAAGAATTGATGAAGTGCTCAGTTATTGATGGATCTAAAACGGAACACCCGTAACGCACCCTGGCCAACCAGTTAACGCCCACGTTTGCTGCCCTAGCAGTCCCTGCTGTGGCAGTCACGTGAAGTAAGCAAAGGATAGGAAGAGAAATCGAAGGTACGGTATAAGGAAGTGCACTTAAATAAGAAAATAATACCAACGCGTGAAGAAAAGTAGAGAAAAGAAAATCGAAGTAGGAAGATGCGAGTTACTCAGGAAAATGGAAAGGTTTCGTGTTGCCACGCAAGAGCGTAAAGTTGCCGCTTAAACCCCTTAACCATAGATTCCCTGATAACACTTTCCGGAAGCATGTTCCAGCGGTCGATAACTCGGCGTGACAGCCGGATTTCCGCCCTAATCCGATCGGACCGCGGTTTGTCCAGCTTCAAGGAATGACCGCGTAGAACAGACAATCTAGCGGGACTAAATAGCCAAGATAAATCTGGACCAACCTTCCCAGTTAAGATACGGCAGGTTAGGATTAGGTCTCCTCTAAGCCTTCGGTAGTGCATTGAATGCATTCCCAAATTGAGTAGACGCTTGGGGTACGTCCGTCCCCGTAATCCCTCGACTAACCTAGTACCCAGTCGTAAAAACATCTCTAGCTCCATTTTGTTCCGGACGAGGCAGGGCGGACAAGTCTGGACGCAGTATTTCAGATGAGGCCGAACGAAAGCGGAGAACAGCCTCGTAAAGATGCCGCCCGTCAAAACTCCGAAAGAACGTCAAATTAACCACAACATGCGGAAACCTCTGCTTGCGGCCTTCTTCCAGTTGTCCCTGGAGTGTAAAGCCGAAGAGTGTACGACGCCTAGATCAATTTGGCTAGATACACGGAGGAGTTCGACTCCACCGACCACCTACTTCGTAGGAGGAAAGCCTCCTCCAATTCGAAGAACGGAGCACTTTGCTTGATTTATGGGCAGTAACCATAAAGTAGACCAGTACCAAAGCTTATCCAATGCTCGCTGAATAGCTTCGGAACCCCCAGGAACATCGACAATGTTCCACAGCTTCAGGTCATCAGCAAATAACAGCGATGGTACCTCAAGCTCCGCGGGTAGGTCATTCACATAGACAGAGAACAGCAGCGGTCCAAGGACCGAGCTCTGCGGCACGCCACTGAGGACAGACTGCCTAAACGATAGGCCACGGCCTACCCGTACACACTGTTCTCTACCCTCCAAGAAGGCAGTCACCCAATGAAGGGCGCGGCCAGATACCCCGTAGGACAGCTTTTGCGCGAGCCTCCAATGGGGTACCTTGTCAAATGCCTTCGAAAAGCACGTCCAGCGCGTGGCCGTTATCCACTGCATCCGCCCAGCTTTCGCGAGCCACCAGTAGATTCGCCAGACATGAAAATCCCTTCCGGAATCCGTGTTGCACATTGCTAAGTAGATTAAATCTACTCAGATGACTCTCCAATTAAGCTCTCACCAGTTTGACTACTACACTCGTCAGACTAACTGGCCTGTAATTTGCAGGCAGACCCGTCCCCATTTTTGAAGATGGGACAGACGACAGCTTCCTTCCATTCGGAAGGCAATGCACAGCTGTCAAGCGATTTCTGAAACACAATAGCGAGCGGTCCACTTAGTTCCGCAGCCAACTCATGCAACAGTTTCGGGTGAATTAAATCAGGCCCAGAGGCCTTAGAAGGGTTCAGTCCTTGTAACAGCCTACGAACTTCCGTCTCCGCTACAATAAATTCAGATAGTTCTGAACCCTTTGGGGGCCTGCAAACCAGCTCAACGCCTGTCAAAGAAGTTTTTCTTACAAACGCTGTCGCATATTGCCCACTAAGTACGCAGGCCTTGCCATAGTCTGTATGCGCATGCGTACCGTCATCACGCATCAATACTGGAATTGATATGTTCGAACCACAGCGCCTTTTGACATAAGCGAAGAATCTTTTCGGATTCTCTGAAGCTTCGTCCGCTAACCCTTTCTCGAAATTGAGCCGAGCATCCCTTAGGTGTTGCTTACACCTATTTCTATCCTTACGGTACCTGTCATAAGTATTGGTGGACGGAGCATCTCGGTAAGTCCGCCAACATCTTGACCTCTTTGTGAGCAGATGCCTGCCAGTGGGATCTATCCAGGGCGGCTGTGCTCGGGCCTCCTTTCTCCTTCTGACTGGGATGAAGGGAGTAGAGACCTCTGTGAGGTAGGACTTAATTTATCCCAGGCAACCTCAACAGTATCGTTGTCTGAGATCTCACAGTGCAAACCCGAAGCCTTGGCTCTCATGCATTGATAATCTGCGTGCCATATGTTCAGGCGAGACTCAACAGTACTCTGGTAGCGTCTAGACAGAGTACAACTGAAGAGCAAACAAACATGATCACTGGAACCCAGTGCAGGTCCGTAAGTAATGTCACCAACAAAATCGAGTGACTTAGCAAATACAAGGTCTAAGACGGTACTTGGGCGTCCATGTACATAGTGGGGTGGTCAGTGAACCGGTGCAAAGATACTTGGAGCGTAAGCTCAAGCAGATCAGCGCCGAATGTGCCTGACGCTGAGTCGCAAGAAAGATCCGTCCAGCAAATGTCTGGGAGGATGAAGTCGCCTATCACCAAACACTTATTTGCGGACTGGGAGTGAATGAACTCAAGTACATCTTTGGATAAGCTCCCACGGAGCGTCCTATCCGCTTCAGCTACGAGTGAGACGGCCTCTCCGGAGTTCCCGTTGTGCAATGACGAGCATCCCAGCAATGATCGGGAAGCGATGGAGCTGACAAGGGATTTCCCCTCCTGCTCTCTACTACCCCAATGAACTCTCCTCGCTGCGGATAGCGTCGTCCTGTACTGCAGACCTCTCGGTTGACAAGTATTTCTTCGTGCTACCTCTGGTTTACGTCCTTTATCATTTTCCAATGGCTTCCAGATGTGTCTCCTGTAGTAAAAGTGTCACTCACCGATCGAAGGCCGTACAGTGCTCTTTGTGTGATGGTTGGATTCATGCTGCTTGCTGTGGTATCAGTCCGGGCCTATATGGACATCTACAACGGACACCGTCTCAAGCTATCGCTTTCTTTTGTGACTCATGCAGAGTAACAACCAGTGACAGACGTGTACTTGCCGGTTTACCAGCGCTTAGTCCACGTCCCTCTCTTCATCACACTGCGCTGATTGCTTCCCCGGACTTAGTTTTACCTGTGGGTCCTTCTTCCCCCTGTTCTGGATTCGTAACTCCTATCGGTAAGCAAAGTCGTGCCACGTCTCCCTCAGTACATCTTTCTGCTCGGCATGCCGAGCCTGCGGTCAGGACCTATGCATCTGTGGTGAGAGGACTCGCAGCGCCGTCAGGCAGTCACAACTCAGCTATGCGAGAAGCGAAGCCAAAAGCAAAATCTAGTATCAAAGCCAAGCCCTCTTCTCAATTGGAGTTTAACAAAGTTCTTGATAGACTTACTCAGTTGGAGAACTTGGTTAAGGACACATCGATTTCTCCTAAGCAACAGACATCTAGGGACTCCCATCGTCCCTCTCGTGACCGCTGCCTTATAGTGGTAAATGCGCCGGAGTCTTCTAAATCTACGCCAGCTGAAAGGATCCTAGATGATGAAGTGTTTTTAATAAGGATGATTTCACTGTTGTTTGATGAAGGTGAACCGGGGATAAATGTTGTTTCTGCCTTTCGCATTGGCAGGAAGCAGGAGGACTCTACAAAGTCTCGTCCTCTCAAGATCGTATGCCAAAACGAGGATGAATGCAGGCGCATCCTCCGACGCACTTCACGTCTCAAAGGAGAATCGTTTTATGTTCTGAGAGATCTGTCCCCTGAAGATCGGATAAAAATGAAGAGTGCGGTTGGTGAACTTCGAACCCGCCGGGCAAATGGTGAGACGGACCTTCACATTGTGGATTTTCGAGTGGTTCCGAAAACTCCGAGAACCCGCTGGAGACCCATCCTTGTCCTACCCGGACAGTGAGGTCGAAGACCGGTTTGAGTGTGTTGTCCGCTAATGTGCGCAGTTTGCGGAACAAACTGGACGAGATTCAACTCCTTGCCATGGATAATCAACCTGATTTGATGGCTTTCTCTGAGACCTGGCTGTCCCCGAACATCCGTGACTCGGAAGTATATATCCCTGGATATCACTTCTCCCGAGCAGATCGCCACGGAGTGAGGTCAGGCGGGGGCGTTATACTCTATTGGAGGACGAACCTCAAGGCGCATTTGCTTGATGCTACTTGTGATATAGATGGTGGCTTCGAAGCTCTGTGGTGTCGTATTCATGACGGGTGTAGATCTCTCCTGGTCTGTGTCGCCTATAGATCTCCCTTGGGTTCGGGAGCTCTTTTACTGGATTCAATTAAATCGCACGCCAAAGGTAAGGACTGCTTAATTGTTGGAGACTTCAATGCACCTGGCATTGACTGGGACCTGCTTTATTGTGGTCTTCCTTTTGACTCTTTTGATGCCCTTCTCCTTCAGACCGTTCTCGATTGTAACTTGTCTCAGCATGTATTTTCACCCACTCGGTTTTTCTCAGGCCAAACGCCGCACATTCTTGATCTAGTGTTATCCCCGATGCCGTCAGATGTCACCGACCTGGTTATTATGCAACCTATTGGTAAGAGCGATCACTGTGCTATTTCCTTCCAATGGACACGTCGGTTTTCTGTTCATGACCAAGGTGATTTCCGGCGTAATTTCTGGCGAGCCGATCCACAGCGTCTGCAGGAGGCTGCTTCTAACATGGACTGGACCATTCCTCATTTTTTGTGTGTTGACGATGCTTGGACTCACTTTTACTCCAACATGATGTCGCTAATCAACCAGGTTGTTCCTATTTCTAAAAGTAGAGGTCTAACAAGTGGTCCTCCTTGGATTGACAAACAGTTGAGGTCTCTGATGAATAAAAGACGCAAACTATGGGATCGATTCAAGTGTACACAATCGACGGCCGACTACTTGCAGTACAAAACGCTTAGGAACCTTTGTATCCTGAAGAAGCGGGAGAATCGCCAAAACTACGAATTACAGTTAGCTGTGCAGTCCAGGTGCTCCCCCAAAATGTTCTTCTCATATCTGAAAAGGGGTACCAAAGGTGGTAATGGCATTCCATCTCTGTATTCCAGTGAACACGCTGCCTTACTTCAGGAGGATGCTGCGAAAGCGGATCTCTTAGCTCAACAGTATTCATCCGTTTTTACCAATGAAACTCCGTTTTCTGACGTAGTACTCCCATGCTCATCTTTGCTGGATCATCTCGAGATCAGTACGGAAACTGTTACTCAATTCCTTCTTCAGTTAGATCCGAACACCTCGCCCGGTCCTGATGGCCTGCACCCACTGTTTCTCAAGACCGTGGCTAAGTACATTGCAGCCCCAGCTTGTCATGTGTTTCGTTGCTCTATTGAATCCGGACGCCTTCCATCAGCCTGGAAGCTGGGTATTGTCAAGCCCATATTTAAAGGAGGGAACCGCCAAGACCCAGCAAACTATCGTCCCGTTTGCCTAACATCAGTAATGTGTAAAATTATGGAACGGATTCTCAAGGGAGCTCTCAGCCTTTACTTCGAAGACCGGAATGTGATTTCTACTGCTCAGCATGGCTTTCGTAAGTCACGCTCGTGTACCACCAATTTGTTAGTTGCCAGAGAGAAATGGGCGAACTCTCTGGATGCTGGCAAACGTATGGATGTTATCTACGTAGATTTCAGCAAAGCGTTTGACAAAGTTCCTCACGAGCGGCTTTTGTTCAAACTTCAAGCAATTGGTGTCTCTGGGAGGGTTTTGTCGTGGATTTCGGATTTCCTTTCAGACCGAATTATGCGAGTTAAGGTCAACAATACGTATTCACCCTCCGTCCTTATGAGCAGTGGCGTTCCTCAGGGCTCTGTTCTTGGACCAGAGTTGTTCAAATTCTTCATTAACGACCTGCCTTCAACCCTCCAGACCGAATGCTTGATCTATGCAGATGATTTGAAGTTATGGATGGAGGTAACCAGCGCTGAGAATGCTGACTGCCTCCAAAATACACTGGATCGGCTGCACGATTGGTCTCTTAAATGGCAGTTGCCTATAAATCACGATAAATGTTCTGTACTCCCCATTGGTGCTACTGAACCATTCGGTGTTTACCACCTTGGTGGTTATTTGCTTAATGATGTGAAACAGGAAAGAGACCTTGGTGTTATAGTATGCTGTGATCTAAAAACCACCCAAGATACTTTGAAGAAGGTTGCTGCGGCTAACAGACTACTGTGTTCTATCCGAAGAGCCTTCTCACGATTGACGCCGGAAATCTTCAGACTTATCTTTTCCTCCCATGTGCGTCCAATCCTCGAATATGGATTACCCGCAGTTCATCCACTTTCAAAGCTTGAACATGGCTTGATTGAAAAAGTTCAGCGACGCGGTTCTAAGTATGTCTTTGAGTTCCGACACCTGCCATATCACCTTCGTCTCCAGCATTTGAATATGTTCTCCTTGGAATATCGGCGTCGCCGAGGCGATCTGATCTACGCTCGGCGCATTCTGCGAGGCGAGATAGGAAACGAGCTCCAAGATTTCTTCCAGGTTAACACTGAGTGTTCGACTCGGGGCCACTGCTGGAAACTGTTCAAACCTAGGAGACTCAGACTTCGCTCTGATTTTACACTATCGACTCGTGTGGTGAACGACTGGAACTGCTTGCCTAATTCCGTCGTCAACGCGCATACGGAAGAATGTTTTAAACGATTGTTGGATTTATACCTCTTGAATTTGCAGGGATCTTGTTGTTTCTTATGTAACTGTGACAATTTAACTTGTTAATTGCTGTTGCGCCAACACCTGCTATGATTGGGAGGTGATGGAGCTGACAAAGGTCTTTCCTTCTGCTCTCTATAATACAATGATTACAATGATTACAATGATTACAACCCAATCCGCCAATTGGAAATAAGACTCTTTCGGCAGTGTGATTTCGGTACACACGGTTGTGGGTGGTAGGAGATAATTTTTAGGTCATTAAACCCATAGCAATGTTTAGTAATAATGTAGGATGCTTGTTGAAATACATACCGCGGAGTTCCTTAAACCATTTACTATATTCCGTTTTCTTTTTAACAACTCACCGTTATATTGAACTTTTCCAATTTTATTCGACTGTGCGAATTGGGAATGGTACGTATGTTTTTGGATGTTAGGAGGTACTTACACTTTAAAACACGTTGCGCAAGAACGTTACCCAACAAAACTCTTACTTTTTGAGAAAGCAGGAACCGGTTGTCCTAATGAAGAGCTGTGCGCATTCAAAATCGCGCCGGTGGCGGATAGGAGGGTCCCCACAATTACAACCTGAGCAGAGGATGTGCTAATAACAGCCGACAGAGTTTCAACGGTTTTGTCTGCTGACTGAAATGAGCAAGTCCTCAGAACATCAAGTTTACAGCTCACATAAAGAGCGACGCCCCCTTCCTGTCGGCCAAAAGAGCGATCGCATCTAAATAGTGCTTAGCCATATAGATGTAATTCACCATCCGTGATGTCCTGAGATGGCCACGTTTCAGTGAATGCTATGAAGGACGTTATGAAATAAGTTGTTACGGCTTGATAAGCATTTAGACAATGTATATTGATTTAAGGGAACTGTAAATGGTGTCACATTAGTTTGCGATGAATGGAGGGGATCTGTTTTAGTGCGCAGGTGTTGGTTCGGTTGCGCTGCAATGGCTGTAGATGATACTGTTGCATCCCGCGCTACGTTTGGCCAAAACTTCAAGGAATTTAAGGAATTCTATGAAGATTTAAGGCGGTTTCAAGTTCAGACGGGGGCAAATTTTTACAGACATGACGTTTTGACCGCTGTGTCGTATAAGAAGTCAGGTTATGAGCTACCCGAAGGGATGCGGTACAAATGGGTATAATATCGCTGTGTTCATTGCAACAGAAAAGGAGAAGGTGGCTGTCGGTAAGTGCGAACGTTGTTGTATGTGTGCATAATGTTGCATATGTATGTCAGTCTGGGTTGTAAAGCGTGCATAGCCACTAGTGCGAAGCCAAATTCCTATGAGCTAGTCTCGCATCGCTTGATGCATTATCATCATTTTCGCTTAAGAAATCCAAGTTTCTACTTTAGTAATCGGCGCCTGACTCCCGAGGCTGAGCTTCAGGTATTTGATTTGATGAAGTCCTTCCGTTATGCCGGAGAACTGCGAGGTTATGTGTTAGAAAGGTACAACAAACGAGTGAATGGACAGGAACTTTTCTATCCACAATGGTTTATGTGGGATACCTGAGGGGAACGATGTAAACGTGGTTGCGTAATTGGTGCATAAGAATGGGGTTGTGCGTGTAGAAAGCGGTGGTTCGCAAGAACGATTCATATTTTTGGTTCCTGCATCGATAACTTCCGTAGTGGCGAAATACGGGGCCGTGCGCCTTGCAGATGTCACGCATCAGGTGAACTATGGTGGTTACATGATTTGGCACTGCATGGTATTTGACGATTTCAGCGTGTGTCGCAGCGTGTTTTATGCTTTGATGCCCATTGAGACCGCAGGTATTTATCTAGATGTTGCTCGGGGATGTCTGAAGTGTTACCCACTACTCACTCAGCGAAGACAACAGTCATGGATTGGTGCCTAGAGCAAGTGAAGGAGATGCCGAATCGCGTTGGATCACGTCAGTAGCCAAATTTCGGAGGTCGAAAGCACACACCATTCCGTGAACTGGGCAGGTGAATGAGTTGGTTTCTTGTGTGTCTTCCTATGCTGCTGGCATATTTCTGCGACTGGTTTCTTCGGAGACGGTCACGTCAATACCACCTAACGGTTTTAGGTAAGGGGAGGGCAGCACACAGTTGTGATTTCTATTGAAATGAGCTGTGAGTGCTCGTTCGTAAGTCAGTGGGATATGACTGCGCACTCCTTGTGCGGGTTGCTGGTACGTTGATCGCCGACACAACCCCGCTTATGCACAGAAGCCGCTGGTCAATGCGAGGCCGTCAAATTCCCATCCCTTATTGCGAAACTTCTCAGGGAACATCCAACCTGTGCCATCTACATCTGCCTCTCCGCCGGTGGTGTTAACGGGGGAGGAAAAGTTTTCCCCTGCCAACAGGTTGTACGGTGATATAACCGTTGCCGTGACCAATCTGGGTACAACGGCTTTTCTTGTGGTGCAGCAGTGCTACCGAAGCTGCCTGAATACCTTACTACGTAGGCAGAGCTTGGCGTCAGTTGGAAACTGCCTTCGTGACAACCTCAACCAAGCCGACGGAGCACCAAAACGTCACCGCCCCAAGGCTATAAAAATGAAGCAATCGTTGTCGCCTAGGGTGCTGGAACCCCCGCAGTTATCGACCGAAACCACCCGCTGTACTTCCGATGCTTCCTTACTGCCACTTCTGCAGCGAACAAAACTGCGAATAAACGCGCCAGAGCAGAGTTTATGAAACCTGCAAACAAGCACGAAAACGCGTGCATCATTTGCGACACTGATCATGGACCAGGCACCATCGCTGTTGTCGTGCGCAGGGTTGTGTGCTGCAAATAAAACAGATGGCTTCATCAGGTATTTGCTGCGTACAACGAAGACGAGGGGCACTATATGTGCATCTTTTGTACGTGAGGTAACCTTTTTCCTAACCGAATTTCCCTTCATGCATGCTCAAGAGAACGTTAAATTCGCCTTTTTCAGGGCCACCTGCTGGTGCTTCAACGGCGTGCTTCCTCCCGGATGGTAAGTCACGCTCCCTGAATGCTGCTGGGTACCGCCTGTAACATACCGCGTAGCCACCTGGTGGGCATCTCTACGAACGACCATTATGCCTTAAGGTTTATTTGGTTGACAAGAGAACCCCATTCTGAATAGCAGTTCAGGTATACCGATACCGTATACCAAGCACACCGCAGCTAAACCTGATTGCTCGGTTAGCATGGCGTGAAATAGATAATGGTAAGTTATTTTCGTCCCGTCACACGCATGCACACATTACTAAGTTTTCACCTTGTATGCACTTGGCCTTCTAGCGCCCCCTCGCAGGTGCCCGTACGAAACGCCCATAATGGCATCGCTCATCAGCTACGTTCCGTATTTATTTACACCCGTATGGCATTGCATTGAATATAGCCCGGACGGCAGTGAGCAGCTGTGTTGACGCGACAAACAAATACCCTCTTTAGCATCAGCGTGAGCACTTTGCATGGGCCAGAGCAACACTTCCGCTGCGTAACTTTCACCGTTACTCTAGTAGTAAAGTGACGCTGTATTGCTGTCAGACATGAAATGGAGCCGGTAAGATCTTTTGTTTACCGGTGGCCAGCTTATGTGAGAAGTCAGTTAGCCCTATGGCATATGGTAGCATCGCTGTGACACATGATGTGGAGCAGACAACAACTTTTATTTACTAGCGGCCAGCTTGTATGAGTAAACAGTTTGCTGTATTGCATATGTTAGCATCGCTGTGACATCTTAAGTGGAGCCGGCACCATCTAATAATTATCGGCCTCTAGCTTATGGGAGTAGTTATTTTTATCCGTATTGCACATGGTAGCACGGCGGTGACACATTCTATGGAGCCGGAAGCAACGTTTATTTGCTAGCAGCCAGCTTATGGGTAGTCAGTTAGCTCTATTGCACATTACAGCATTGTTGTGCGTCATTAATTGGAGCCGGCAACATCTTTTAATTCCTGGCCACCAGATTATGGTAGGTCCGGTAGTTACTTTGCATTTAGCATCGTTGCTGTGACACGTCCCATGGAGACGACCACACCTTCCAACTATTCGCCGTTACTATTTCTATGTTGGCCGGTAACTAATTTGCATCAGTAGTTACTTCTGTTTCCTCATGGCAGTAAGCGTCAGGGATGTACCTTCTAGCACTTGCACCCAGTGGTGTTGCAGCGTGACTTTCCATCACGCAGCACATTTTGCAGCTTCCATAATCTTATTCTAGTAGGCTGGCTAGCCGAACAACCTCCTCGTGGTGCCACCTGGGTGGTTCGGGTTTAACCCGTTCCAGCAAATAGTTCGGCGGCGGTGTTCCAGGCCGTGGTGGGTTTTCGCTTAGCAAGCGTTCTCCCTACAAAAAGCCACAAATGTCTGTTTAACAACACTGCGACGTGGAGGATGTGACTCTCCACAAACTGAAGTCACTGGCCCGTGGATATCCGGAAAGTACTATCCAACCCACAGAAACCAATCGCTTATGCTCACATTCCTGAGGATAACAAACAGTCAAAAATGCTGCGACACATTCAAAGACACACGTTACATTCATACACAATTACATAGGTATATAAACCCATACACGCTGGATATCCGGAAAGTGCTATCCAACCCACAGACGTCAGTCGCTTATGCTCACATTCCTGAGGATAACAAACAGTCAAAAATGCTGCGGCATATTCAAAGACACAAGCTACGTTCGTACACAATTACATACATATTTACACCCATACACTTACATACACTGTTATGACAAACATGTACCTTTTGTACCTTTTTGATCACACTTTGTTAGCTAAACATGATCATGCCTGTAAATGTGTGCCTAGCCTCATCGAGAATAAAAGTTTATTTATTTATTTATGTTTATGCTATCTGTTGGGACACCATTACGGCTGCATACCATTTCCCGCTGCTATAATTATTACCATTTTTACATAGAACGCTAGGACTTATTTTTCACCGGTATGAATTCCTCCCATTTCCATTAAGTTAGCTTCACCGGAAGCCTAATTTACAGTATAGTGCGTACGTAATTCTTCTTATAACTAACAATTAATTCATGATCAAACTAGGCCATAAAATAAATTACTTGTGGATAACATCTAAAAATTAATAATAAATGCACTTTTTATGTATTACGTATAATGAACCACATAATCCCCTCATTATCTCTTGGTCGTCGGACGGTAACCATTCAAAAAGAATTTGCTTGTAAATATACCTTTTCACAGACTACTGCTTAGTTCTCTACTAAATTACTTTTATAAGCTCGAACACCCCATTTAAAATGCTGCATGAACATATATATTTATGTATGTATGTAATCTCAACAGTCTAGCAACTAGACATAGAGCCAGCAAAGCCGTGGGGATCCGTGGATAGAAGAGAGTCGTTTCGTCATAAGCATCATGGCATGCTAGTTGAAGGTGAACAATACACTTCAGCTAATACGCCGCAAGAAGAATGGAACATTTTGACAAGAAAAGAACAAACCTTTTTGGTTTGTTTTTCACACGCCGCTTTTGCTCTGTTTTGTCATGTTAATGTTTGTAGTATAAAAATTGTGAATCAGTACAATACTGTACACAATTCTTCCATTGCTTCCGGTTGCGGGCCATG